GGGGGGGGGGGGGAGAAATAAATGAGTTGGTTACTAACACCCTTCAAAGGTGACCAGTGAGGAATGTGTGTGTGAATATCAATATGAACTGACATTTTCAAACATATTTATGTGCTTCAAGTCATTGCAGTCATTCTTTTTATTAAATATTTATTTATTTATTTATTTATATTTAATTAATTTTTTTGCTGCATCGGGTCTTAGCTGTGGCATGTGGGATCTTCACTGAGGCATGCGGGATCTCTTGTTGCGGCGCGCAGGCTCTTCCTTGTGGTGTGCGGGCTTCTCTCTAGCTGTGGCATGCAGGTTTTCTCTCTCTAGTTGGGGCACACGGGCTCCAGGGCACGTGGGCTCTGTAGTTGTGGCGCATGGGTTCCAGAGCGCATGGGCTCTGAAGTTTGTGGCACACGGGCTATGGTTGAGGCGCGTTGGCTCTATAGCTGTGACACGCAAGCTTAGTTGCCCTGCGGCATGTGGGATCTTTGTTCAAACCCGCGTCCCCTGCATTGCAAGGCGGATTCTTTACCACTGGACCACCAGGGAAGTCCCCATTGAAGTCATTCTAATTGCTGTTCAAAATGTCCCCTCTTTAGCCAGTGGCAACGCCTTCATACAGACTCCTGAGTCCTTCTGACTCAATCCCAGTAGTTTTGGAGGACGTCCTTGCTCTCTGGTACAAAATGCTTCATACTCATTTTGCACATTTCCTGCCCCAGACCTAGAATCAGCTATTTCCCCAAGGATCCCTGGTTCCTTTTAGTCAGAAATGGTATTTAGAGGCCACAGCTTGGCCACTAGGGTTGCTCATTGTTACTGCATTGTTATATGTAGAGCTTTTCCATGGACTTAGCTAGGGAAATATATATATATAAAATACATATATATATATTTATTATATGTATTATATATATAGTTTAGAAAGAGAAAACCCCATGAGTTCATTCTAATATTTCCAATTCAAATGAAAGATTACAGGGTGTTACTTCTTTGATTTTATATTTGTATCTCTTTTCTTTTTTTAAAAAAATATTTATTTATTTATTAGGCTGTGCTGGGTCTTAGTTGCGGCAGGTGGGGTCTTCACCGTCACGTGCGGGATCCTCAGTTGCGGCATGTGGGATCTTTTAGCTGCAGCATGAGGGATTTTTAGTTGCGGCATGCGAACTCCCAGCTGCCGCATATGGGATCTAGTTCCCCGACCAGGGAGCAAACCTAGGCCCCCTGTACTAGGAGCCCAGAGTCCTAGCCACTGGACCACCAGGGAAGTCTCGTGTATCTCTTTTCATTTGCATTAAAAACTTAGTCCCCAGTAACATTAGCATAGCTACATATTTGCTTTAGTCTAATATATAATTTCAAAATATATGATGTTGCGTCTCAAAATTTTAAACTGTATTTTACCAAAATAAAAAAAATCAGTATTATTATGAACAGTAAGACTATTTGAAAGTAGGTTGCAGACATCATCCTTAATACTTCAACACACATTCTCTAAGAACATTCTCCCACTTAACCACGATACCATTATCACACCAAAGAAATTTTATAAAGATACAGTATTGTCCAATATACCAATCTCTCATTTCTCATATTCAAATTTCCCCAGCTGACGCAAAAATGTACTTTCACGGGACTTCCCTGGTGGCGCAGTCGTTAAGAATCCGCATGCCAATGCAGGGGACACGGGTTTGAGCCCTGGTTTGGGAAGATCCCACAAGCCGCGGAGCGACTAAGTCCGTGCGCCACAACTACTGAGCCTGCACTCTGGAGCCCCCAAGCCACAACTACTGAAGCCCACACGCCTAGAGCCCGTGCTCCGCAACAAGAGAAGCCACTGCAATGAAGAGTAGCCCCTGCTCGCGGCAACCAGAGAAAGCCCGCCTGCAGCAATGAAGACCCAACGCACCCCAAAATAAATAAAATAAATTAAAAAAAAAATTTTTTTAATGTACTTTCGGGACTTCCCAGGTGGTCCAGTGGCTGACTCTCACTCCCAACGCGGGGGGACCCAGGTTTAATCCCTGGTCAGGGAACTAGATCCCACATGCCACAACTAAGACCTGGTGCAGCCAAATAAATATTAAAAAACAACCCCAAACCCCACAAAAAACAACCCTCCAAACCAAAAAATAACCCCAAAATGTACTCTCAAACGCAAATGCTTAAAAAAAGTTAAAACACCCCACCCTGATTCAATCAAGATTTTGCATTGCATTTGGTTGTCACGTCTCTTAATCTAAAACAATCCCCACTGTACCCCCACTGACTTTCTTAAGAATATGATCTAGTTGTTTTGTACAAGGTTGCACAACTTTTATTTCACCCAGTATGTCTTTGGGATAGATTCCTATAAGTAGCATTGTCTGGGCAAAGAGTAAATGCTTATATCGTTCTTTTTTAATTAAAAAATTTTATTATTATTTTTGGGGTTTTATTAATTTTATTTATTTAGGCTGCGTTGGGTCTTCGTTGCTGCGCGCGGGCTTTCTCTAGTTGCAGTGAGCGGGGACTACTCTTCGTTGCGGTGCGCGGGCTTCTCATTGCGGTGGCTTCTCTTGTTGCAGAGAACGGGCTCTAAGCGCGCGGGCTTCAGTAGTTGCAGCACGTGGGCTCAGTAGTTGTGTCTCACAGGCTCTAGAGTGCACGCTCAGTAGTTGTGGCGCACGGGCTTAGTTGCTCCGCGGCATGTGGAATCTTACTGGACCAGGGCTCGAACCCATGTCCCCCACATTGGCAGGCGGACTCTTAACCACTGCACCACCAGGGAAGTCCAATAAATGCTTATAGAGTTTTTCTGGAGATGATCCCACACATATTCCATATTGCACATCCACTGATGTATCAGAGTGCTGTTTCCCATAGACTTACCAACAGAGGGAGCTGCCAAAATTACAGGTTTCCTTTTTCCAAGTCTGGTAGGTGAGAAATGTATCAAAGTGGGGTTTTAATTTGCTTTTCTCTTAGAGTTTGAGCATATTTTCTGAGAACTGTCCATTCATATATTTTGCCCATTTTTCCATGGACTTGGAATTTTTCTTTTCCACTTTGACATTACACACACACACACACACACTTTTATGTTATAAACTGCAAACATTTCCCAATTTGTCATTTCTTCTTACTTTGCTTTTTTTTTTTTAACCATGTAAAAGTTTCTTTTATTTTTTTTGTCAGTACTTCCCCTTATTGCATATGGATTTCAAATCATATTTAGGAAAGTTTGTCCAACTTCTAGTTTATAGAGGAATTCACCTACATGGAGCTCACATTTTGTTTGAGGACAATAAAAGATAAAGTAAAACAGTGTATGTTAGAAGATGTGTTATGGAGAAATATTGAGCAAGGATGGGGGTAAGGACCCTCATGTTCAGTAGGGGGGTGGCTCGGAGCTGAGATGAAAAGGAGGGTGGACACTAAGGTGGCACATAGGAAGGCAAACGTGTAAAGACTGGGAAAGAGTCGCCAGGGATAGGAGAACTGGGAGAGTGAGGGTGCTCTGGAGGCCAAGAGAGGAGTTATGGGAAGGGAGGTGGAAAATCAGGTTTAAAATCTCAAAGATGTCAAATATCCCTAATTTGTAAACTAACTGCAACCCCAATAAAACCCCCATCTATGTTTGTATTTCTTCTGGAACCAGGCAAATTGGGTATAAAGTTCACTTCATTTGAGAGAAAAACCTAGCAAGAGACAGGGACACACTGAAAAATAAGAGCAAGACGGCAATCAGCCATTTCAGGTACTAAGACGTATTACACAGCCTTTATAATTAAAACACTGTGGGGATGGCACACAAGAGTCAGACAGTGGACTTGGAGAGAACACAGATGCAGCCAAATTAACCACTGAAATTTAGTGTATGAAAAGGTGGCATCTCAAGTCACCTAAAACTACTTTATAAAGTTTAGGTATGTAAAGTTTTACTTTATAAGTTGAAGATAATTCAGTGAAATGCTGCGATCTAATCAGTACAGCTAGATTAGTTCTGAAAAATCTATACACCTGTGTAACCCCACCACCTTCAATGTACAACATATTCCCAACTCGAGAAAGTTTGTCTCCTCCTTGGTTGATCCCTGCCACCCAGCCCTCCTTCAGAGGCAATCACTGCTCTAAATGAGAATTTTAATAAGTGATAGTGAGATGTATTTAAAATAAGATAAAATTGAATCCATTTAGATAAATTCCAAATGGCTCAGAGATTTAAAATTTACATTTACAAAAGAAATTGTATAAAACTAGAAGGCAATGTCATCTCTTAAACCTTCCCCTCTTCCAGCAGATGCACTGCCTCCTCAGCCCTCACACCAACACATCTGAACTCAGGGCCTTTGCATGTGCTGTAGTCTTCCCCTCTGCAAGCCTTCCTCAGATACCCGTGTGCTTCCTTCTCTCTGTACCTTTACAGAGTGTCACCTTTGCTGTGTAGCCCTCTATTTAAAAATCACACCACTACAACCGCTTTTTCTCCACAGCAGTTCTTCCACATACTAAATATTTTGCTTACTTATTTTGTCAGTGGTCTGTTCTGTCCTAGAATGACAACTCCCTGAAGGCTGGGACTTCTGTCCATTTTTTTTAGTGCTGGATCCTCAGTATTTAGAGCAGGTGCTTGATTACTTTTTGTTGAGGGTAAAAGTGATGAGGAGAGTTTCAGGTAGGGTGGGGCACACAGTACTCTTGGCTTTAGTGTGATGATAGGACAGTGGCAAGGCAACTGAGAGGAAAAACAGAACAGCCTGTGAAGGGGGACGGCAGGTGTGGGCAGAGACAATGGGCTGATGCATCCAGGCAATGCTTTCTTCCAAAAGTCTTATTAAGGGAAGTGAAGTGCTGGGGTGAACAAATGCGAAGCTCTGGACTTCTTTTTGAGCCGCCTCTTCATCTGCACAGCTGCTGCAGGGCGCCTTGGGCCTGGATCCAGCGCAGCTGCCACTGGGGCAGCGACAGGCCTTGGCAGAGCTCCCCGGAGAGGGCGGCTTGTCCTGGCTGCTCCCACCTGGAGAAGGGGATGGCATAAGAGGGAAGGCCTGGACCTCCAGACCTTCACTGGCCTCCGCTCAGCACCATGCTCTGCTTGTCATCAGCACCTCCCGCCCCCTGCCCCGCCTGGTCTAAGTTCTGCCTGTTCCGCCAGTCAGCCCCCACCTCATCGTGCCCCCCTCTCACCAGTCCCCCACAACTCCCTGCAGCTCGGGGATTCGCTTCAGTGCTTGTTTCAGCAGGTTCTCCAGGCGCTTCAGAGCCCGCCCCAGGTTCTCTTTCTGCTCCTTTTCCTGGGATGCCCAGATCTGCAGCAGCTCTGCAGGTTAGAAACCCGGGGGGGGGGCGGGCAGCAATGAATCCTCTGGCTCCCTGGTGCCTTGCAGCCATTGGGTCACCAAGTCTCCAATCATCTAGCCTTCACCTGAGCATCTCTCCTAATCCTCTCTCTCCTCCCAGGTCCTCTTACCACGTGCAAGCCCATCATACCTCAGGCGTCATTCTGAATGCCTTCCTCCCTCCCCCTGATGGCCCCTCGATCTCCATGGCCCAACCCTCAGTGTCCTCCCTGCTTCCCTACTTGTCCCCCAGCCTCCCTCCTTGGGCCCAAACCTCAGCCTCTTACCAGTCCATCCTTCACATGGCAGCCAGAGTGATCTCACAGCCTAAACCTGATCCTTTCCCTCTCCTGCTTGGAACCCTGCAAGGCTCCCCAGAGCCCCAAGACAGAGCTCAGGCTCTCAGCCTAGTACTTGAGGGGTGCATCATGTGGCCTCTGCTTACTACTCCTGAGCAAAACCTCACCTGTCCCCCAGGGCCCACTGGAGACACCATCTTTCCTCCTGGACAGCTCTCACCTCTTTCCCCATTGAGCTCTCAGGGCCAGCACATGGCACATACCCAGTGAGTGCTTGCTGAGTGAATCCAGGAATAAATGACTTTTCTGAGTTTCAGCTTCCTCTCTGTAAACTGGGGTCTTATACTCCCTTCCCTTATGGTAAGGACTGGAAGACACTGTGCATGTGCAGATAACAGTGACTAGAATCACACCAGAGACACAGAGTGCTTACTGCAGCCCGGCATGGCTCAACACCCTGTTTGGGTCACCTGACTGAATCTTTTCAACAACTCTGTAAGGTATTATGATTACGCTTATTCCACTGAGGAGGACACTATGGCACAGGGAGATCATGCAGCAAGGAAGAGGTGGGGCAGGGAAGAGAATCCAGGTAGTTTAACTACACAGCCCAGTTTCTAACTACTCAAGTATACTATTGTTTGGTGATGGATGAGTATTTGGCAATTCAATGAGCAGTGCTGCCTAATGGTTAGGAGCACAGACCCATGTTAGACAGCCTGGATTCAAATCCCAGCTTGGCTGTCTGGGCAGCTACCAAGCCTTCTGCTTCTCAGTTCTCTCCTCTGTAAAACGGAGAAAGCCCCTGGGCTGCTGTGCAGATGAAACTAGTGAGCATGCTCAAAGCACTCAGCACACTGTATAAGCAGTGGGTGTTTGTGATTTATTCTGGATGCTGATGGTCCTGGGAAGGGGCTGGGATGCTGGATAAGGAAGCAGGGCAGGCCTACCCTGGGTGGATGGTCCTGGCGGCAGGCTGGTCTTCATGTGGAGCAGATACCAGCATCGGAGACTTCGCTGGTCCTGGAGGAACAGAAGGTCCTGGCGAAGAGAGGCAGCCTTCGGGAGGAGCAGCTCAGGAGCCTGGAGGGAGGGGGAAGGACAGTCACCTGGGGTGGGGGTAGAGGTGGGAAGATGGGTCCTAAGGGACAGGCACTCACCTTCCCTGCGGGCAGCCCCAGTGTGTGGCTCAATACTATGAGGCTGGAGCCTCTTGGGGATGCAGGATGCAGCTGGTGGATGGATGGCAGGACAGTAGGGAGGGGCTGCAACCTGTGGGGGAAAATCCAGGTTGGGTGGGGCACTGAGAGGGAGGCTTGGGTTCCAGAGACTCTGGGGGCTGGGAGCTGGACTCAGGAGGCCCAGGAACTTGGAGGTGGGTCTGAGGACTAGGATTCCAGAATGGGGCTGAGGACCTGAAGGTGAGGTCTGGCAGCTCGGGAACACTGGGAGGACTGGAATTGTTTTTTTGGAGTGGGCCCAAGGAGCAACAGTCATCCATGGCAGGGGACATGGTGATGGCCCAGTCTCACCCTCCAGGGCTGTGCCGCAGCAGGGTGCCCAGCACGAGATGGGGCAGATGCTGGGCTCCCTCCTCTAGACACCGAAGCAGCTCCTGGCTCTGTGGTGCCACCATCTCAGATGTGGGGACCACTTTTTGCCGAACCAAAGCTAGCACCTGTGGGGAAGGAAAGGGATGGGAAGGGCAGTGTGAGGCCGCTTAGCCCCCTCCCTAGGTAGACCCAGCCCTACCCAGAATTTGCCCCAACTCCCATCTCACCTCCCCAGGGCTCCGGCACAGGCTCATCTTGCTGGCTGAGTTGCCCTTGATGAGCAGGCGGACCTGTTCCTGTGTCTCCTCCTAGGCAACAGAGAGGTAACGGAGGTGGGCTGCTTTTCCTTGTCACCTTCCAGCCTCTGCCTTTGCTCACCCCTTTGCACAGGTCCTGATTCCTCTTGGGAGTCTCACCCTGGCCCCCTCCCCTCACCAGGATGCCCAGTTCTGGATCTTAAGGGTCCAGCCTCACTCTGGCCCTCCACCAGGCCCTGCCACTTCTCCCAAAGTCCCGCCTCTCACCACCAGTTGGCGCCAGTGCAAGATCCTCTGCTGTTTGGCCTGTAGCTCCTGGAGCAGAAGCTGCCGCTGCCCAGCAGCCTCCTCCAGCTCCTGGCTCATGGCATGCAGGGCCTTGAGTTCTGCCCACAGGGCAGAGCTCCGGAGCCCCAGCACCAATACCTGCCTGGGGCACGAGTAGAAAAGAGCAAAGGAGAAAGAAGGTGACTAAGACTCACCACGGAGGAGGGAGATCAGATCTGCAAGGATGCACAAGGAGCCATAGCACGGGGAGACAAACCAGAAGAGCAAGCAGGGATGCAGAAACAGGAGCCACAGGTGCAGAAAAAGTCCAATAACCTGAAACCTCTGGGAGAGAGATGGCCTAGAGGCCTCTGCCCATGGAGACCCCTCACCTCTCGCTGGATCCCACGGTACATCTCTCCATCTGCTCCATCAGGCCTTGGAGGTGCCGGGTCAGGATTTGATGGTCCTTCAGGAGGGGGCCCCGCTGGGTGACCAGCGCAGCCACAGACTGCCAGCCCTCCTGGAGCGAGGCACTGAGTCAGGGTTGGCATGGTCCCTGGGGTTGGGGGCTGGGGGAGCGGATCGAGTGGGTTGGGAAGGGGATGGAGTCCTGGGGGTCACCTGCATGAGATGCACCATGGACGGCAGGGCCTGGTTGGAGTTGGGCTGGTCTGGGGCCTGGGAGCCGAGAATAGGGTCCGAGCTGCAGAGAGAGACCTGTCCCCTTGCCTGGGCCCTTGGGGGTAACTAATGTCAGCCCACCTGCCAGATTGGTTACTGAGTTTCAGTTCCACCCCCATCAGCAGGTCACCCTGCCTGGTCCTGACCTGTCCCAATTTACCCAGCCCACTGCCCTGCTCTGACTGTGGGAGCATCCACGCCACACCTGGCTATCTCTGTATCTTGGAGCTCATCCACGGTGCACAGGGACTGGATCTCTGCCTCCCGCTCTGCAGCCAGATGCTCCAAGGCAGCCAGGATGTGGCCCGGAGGGTGGTTTGTCAGCAGTGTCTGGTGAGGAGAGGAGTGAAGTCAGGGCAGAATGGAGGAGGGTTATGAGCTGGGACTCCATGGAGAAGGGGAAGGATCAAGAGTTAGGTCCTGGCACCCTGAGGTTTACATGGGGCAGAGGGTGTGGCCTTTTTGAGAGCCCCCTCACCTCCACTGAGCTAAGCCACTGCTGGTAGGAAGTTCCAAAGAGATCATCTCGAGGGGTTCTGTGGAGTTGGGGAAGGGGACAGAGAATGTTACAGAACACATCAACTCACCCTCTAATGATCACCACCACCCTATAGGGTAGGGGTTGTCATTGTCCCCATTTTAAGGATTGGAAACCAGGCTCTTTCTCTACGCCTGTCAGACTTGAGTTCTCCACTTAATATCAACTCACTGGTCTTGGGCCCCTTTACGCGTGCTGTTTACCTGGAACACCCTCTCAACCTTTTACCCTCCTCACTAGAGAACCCGTCCTGTCTCCATAGCTGGGTAAGGCATTTCATTTGGGTTCCCTGCGCCTCTCAGGCCTCCCCACCCTCTGACAGCCCTAACTACCTGGGTTGTCACTGTCTATGATGGTCTGTTTCCCTCTTTTCCCAGCCTGGGAGCCCTGTCAGGGCAGGGCCTGGGCTAACAGCCCGGAGGCCCAATGTCTGTAACAAGTGACTACCCCCAAAGCCCAGGTTCTTTGCAGGGTCTCAGGGGTTGAGGGATACTCACGGAATGCTGCCTCCCTTGGCCCGAGGCATCAGGAGCTTCTGCAGGAACTGGGTCCGGAGGCTGCAGGCTGTTCGGACATCACCCTGTGAAGAAGGGAGTGTAGCATGAGGAGGGCCCAAAGGTCCACTGAACCCCAGGCTCCCCACCTTTTCCCCCATGGCCCAGGACTCTTACCAGGACCACAGGCTCCAGGCTCAGGGCTGCTGATGTCAAAGGTCCAAAGTTTATATCCACTTTGGCCTTCCTGGAGAGAGGAGTGCAGTTGGGGCTGAGGTTCCTGGGAGGAGGGAGCTGGCAGCACAGATGTCTGTGTCCCCTCGCTGCCAGCAAAACTAGCCTGGATCTCAGAGGCCAACCCAAATTAGACCACTGTCATCTCCTGGCTAGATGACTGCATTAACCTCCTCATTGGTCTCCCTGCTCTTGCCCACTGCAGTCTGCTCTCTACCCAGTAGTCAATGATCCTATTAAAACCTCAGAGAGACCATGTCACTGTTTTGCTCAAAACCCTTGAAAACAATGTGATGTGGCCCCATTACACTCAGAAAAGCAACAATGGGTATTAGAACTCTTCTAAGCACTCTGCGTGATTTGACTCACTCAATTATCATACCTACCCTATAGAGTAGGTATTAATATTATCCCCATTCTATAGAACTTAGAAACTGAGGCACAAAGAAGTTAAATACTTTGCCCAAAGTCACACAGCTATAAGTGGCTGAGCCAGGCCATGAACCCAGCCTGAGAATAAAATTCCAATGCCTCCACGGCGCTCTGTCCACCTCTCCAACCTACCTCCTCACGCTCTCCCTCTTGCCTACGAAACTTAAGCTAAACTGGCCTCTTGGTTGTTCTTCCCACATGCCAAGCTCAGGGCTCTGCTTCTGCTGTTCCTCTCCATGGAAATTCCTCCCCCAACTCAAATGTTACCTCCTCAGAGAGGCCTTCTCTGACCATCATACCTAGGGCAGGATGTCCCTCTCCCTTTCTATCATATCACCTTTTTTCCATAGCGCTCATCTCTACCTATGATTACAGGGTCTGTCTGTTTCCTAGTTTACCACCTGTCTCCTCTGCATCACAGTGTGAGGTCCATGAGGGCAGGACTGTCCCGTTTACTGTTTTATCCCCCGCACCGGTGTTCTAGATATATAGCTGGCACTATTCTAGGCACTGGAAATACAGGTGGCTGAGATGACAAAACTTCCTGGCCTCATGGATGTTAAATCTTAAGGAGTGGAGCTCAGAATTCTGGAACCCAAGAAGCGTTCAGGGAAGAACACTGGGTCTTTAAGAATGTGTCTACCCAGCCTGGTGAGGGCTGCTCCCTGGACCCCTGAGGCTTACCTCTCTATGTCCTGCAAATGCTTGAGCTGGTTCTGCAGCTGCTGCATGGGACCTTGGAGCCCACGCTGCTGTCTTTGCATGGCCCCAGCTTGGGCCCGGAGGAGGAGAGCACGACGCTGGGTGTCTTGCATGCTCTGTAGGGCCTGCTCCGTGGCCATGTCTGCGAGAGGAACAGAGGCGGCCATCAGTACTTTCCTTAACCTTGTTCTGTTGCCCATCTGTCCAGCCCCATGGGTCACCCTGAGCCTCAGTCTCTCGCTCCATCAGCTCCAGGCTCTGGTCTAACTCCAGGATCTCTGCCCGCAGGTGGGCAACAGCAGCTTCCAGCTTCAACTTCCGACGGGCCTGGTGGAATCAGGTACAGGGTCAGATGCATGGCCTGGCTGGGGCTGGGCCTGGCCTGACTGCCCTGTGTGGAGCAGCAGTCTCTTACCTGCCCAGTTAGGTGGCAGAGGGTTTTCCCTAGGCAGTTTCGGTGCCTGAACTTCTAGGACCAGAAGAGCACTATGGTACTATCCTGTTCCCCTCCTTCCTCCTGGGATTGCCTCATCTAGCCTCCCACCCTGTTTCTTGTCTCTGTCCCAGTCCTCATCTCCCCACTGAGCCCCACACCTGGGAGTCCTGAGGTCTCCTGGAAGCCTCCCCTGCCCCAGATGTCACCTGGGCACCATGCACACATTTGATCCCATACTGGTCTCAGTATCTCTCCCAAACCAGTCTCTTCTCCCAACCTCACCAGCTTTGATGCCCCATATCCATGTCCCCCCAACCACAGCTCATACCTTCTCCCCCTAGACTGTAAGCCCTGTGAGTGCAGGGATCAGGGCTGTTTTGTGACACAGTGACCCTAGCATCACCCAGCACAAGGCTGGGGCTAGAGCAGGTCTACAAGTCCTCTTTTTGGATGAAAGAAAATCTTGCAGCACGTGCTTCTCACCTCTGGACTGTCCTGGTGGCCATACCTGAGGAAGTGAGGCCAGAGTTAGGGGATGACAGGGACTTCCAGGGGGAGATGGGAGGCTGAGGCTGTGGGTGGGGACATGGCTTGAGGGGGCTGGGGAAGACAGGACGGGACAGCTTTGAGGACCAGTTACCAGAGCAGGTTTCCCCGGATCTTCTTGACATTCCTATAGTGGAGAGGTAGGAGGAAGGGGAGTTACTGTAGGACTCGCCTAGGTCCCCTCCCCTGCCACAGCTTCCCTCATGCAGCCAGGCTCACCTCTGGCTGTGCACATGCCGCAAGACGTAGGCCCAGATATCGGCCCCCTGGCCCAGACACAGCCTGTGGGAACAGTATGTAAGGGGATGCCTGGGACATCACACAGGGTGGAGGATCTTCATTCGCAGGGTGGTGGGGGGTAAGGTCTTTACTAGGGAATTCTCACCTCTTGGGGGAGGGAGGGTCCATACTTTTGGGGGTAAGGTATTCCCTCCTGGGGAGTTCTCAGTCACTGAGAGGGTGGGCTTCTCACTGGGTGTAGGGGTATTCTCATTCCATGGTGGAGTGCTCCCTTTCTCCTGGTAGAGGGTTATCTCCAGTCACTTCCAGAGGTGGGGGTGAGGGCTATACTGCATGGAAGGGCTCTCTCATTATCAGCTGTGGGTCATCACTCCTATACATTCAGTCTTCAATGGCGTGGTCTTTGCTGACTCCAGAGGGTCCTCACTGGCTGGGCTGGGGTGTGTGGTGGGTGGTGAAGTGCTGCAGGGACAGCCTTACTCTGGAGATCCAATTTCCCCACCGGGAGGGGGCCTTCATTACTAACTCACTGGTGCAAGGGACCTCACTCTGGGCGGCCTCACAGGATGGGCGCGGGAGTGTTGGAGGCACCGCCAGGACGTCCTCACATAGTTCAGGATCCTCTACTCGGGGGGCGGGGGCGCCCTCAAGGGTTATTCTCACTCGGGCAGAGGGGGATGGGGAGGGCGGCGCGTCTTAGATGAAGATGTGGTTCTCACTCCCCGGGACTCTACCTCCAGGGTGGGGAGTCGTCACTCCTAGAGAGGCCCTCACCTGCGCAGCGTCGACTCCGGGGCCCGGGCGGCCACGGGCGCCTCCATCTCTTCCGCCACCCAGCAGCCCAGTTCCCGCGCTTGCTGCGCTAACTCCATGACAGCGCCTCAGCCGCCGCCTCCCGCCCCTTCTTCAAGTGTGGCTTCCGCCTCTGACGTCACGAGTGCGCCGGAAGTGACGCAATCGATCGCCAGACAGGCAGGAGCTTTCCGGCTTTGCAAGATGTCGGAGCTTTTTTACGTCTCTCATGCTTGAGGGTCTGGTCTCTTTGAGTGGAGATGAAAGGGGCGTGGAGAAACGGTGGGGCCCGCTAGCCTTCTGCGTCCTCCTTCCTACTACCGTCTGTTCCCTAAGAGACAAAAGGTCCCCAATGCCTCCCGTCATTTTCTTGACAAAATGGGACTTTCATCCCAGGAGGATGAGAATCAGGCGAGGAGATGCCAAAGTTACTGCTTTTTGGTTTCAGAAACAGGGTGTCAGGTCTGAGTGGGGGATAGATGGCAGATGGCATGACCCTAATATCTCTCTGGCATGCTTTCTTCTAGGTATTCGTTCGTTCTTACCATTCTGTAACATTCGTGAGCTGACCCTGTGCTGGGGACACCCCGGTGGCTGAGACAGCCCCAGTCTCAGCTACTCGAGCCCCAGCTACTGGAGCTACCAGTTCAGTGAGGGACACAGACGCATCACCAGGTAGGGATGGTAGAACATAAGCAGCAGGGGTGGGTCAATTTGGGACACAAGGAATGTGAGAGGTCTATGGAGTGCCCCAGAAAGCACTGGATACTAGGGCTGGAGTTCTAGAGAGCCCACTCAGTCTCAGACATGGCCCTGAGAAATGGCAACATTCAGGGACTTTTCATTCAATATGATTCATCACTGTCCTCCGTGTCCAGTACAGAGCCTGACGCTCTAAGAGTTGTTGAAGAAACAAATGGCAGGAAAGGTGGCGGGGGTGAGACTAAAGCTGGGAACGCTGGGAGGAGGATGGAGCAGGATGAAGGGAGGAAGGGGTTGAGGACAGTGCTGGACCACTGTAGGGCTGTGGAGAAGAGAGGAGACTGAGTGGATGGGTCATGTGAGGTTGACTGGCTGTTGAGGGTTGAGATCCAGGGCTCTAGGCTGGGGATTAGGTGGAACAGACCTTGAAATGGGGAGGTGAGAGAAGGGGCAGCTTTGGGGGAGATGCTGATAACAATGTGAGACTCTGTGGGTGTGAGGAGTCAAGGGGACATCCAAGGGTCAGCCGAGTCTCTAGTCCAGGGAAAAGGGGACTATGAGGTCACCACTAAATAGCAGATTTCGGGGAGAAGCTGAGTTCAGCTTCAAATTCTTCATAAGGGCTGAGATGCAGAAGAGGGTGCCAGGGGCTGTTGTAATCCAGATGGGCTTCCTGGAAGAAAGACTAGCAGCTGCTACTCCACCATCCTGATTTCTCAAGTTTCCATTTCTTTCAAGCATCTCCACCCTTCCAACCTTTGTGGGTTGTTTTGCTGTTAAAAAAAAAAGAAAATCAATTAGACAGCATGTATGCCAAGGGCCTCTGAGCCTTTCAAGGGACTTTAGAAAGTATTGGCTGTTAAAGGAATGAAAAGACAAGTCACAGACTGGGAGAAAATATTTGCAAAACACATATCTGATTATTGATGAGTATCCAAAATATGCAAAGAACTCTTAAAACTCAACCATAAGAAAATAAATAATCCAATTTAAAAATGGACAAAAATTATGATGTCTCACCAAAGATGATATACAGATAAATGCAAATAAGCATATGAAAAGTTGTTCAACATTATAGGTCATCAGCGAGCTGCACATTAAAACATAATGGGTTACCTCTACATACCTATTAGAATGTCTAAAATCCAAGACAATGACAACACCAAATGCTGCTGCGGATGTGGAGCAATAGGAACTCTCATTCATTGCTGGTGGGAATGCAAAATGATAAAGCTGCTTTGGAAGACAATCTGAAAAGGCCATATGCTGTGTGATTGCAACTATGTGGCATTGTGGAAAAGGCAAAACTATAGAGATCAGTAAAAAGATGGTAGTGGCCAGTGGGTGGGGGGTAAGGATGAAAAGGTGAAACACAAAGGGTGATTTTTTTAGGAGGGTGAAACTATTTTGTATGATACGGTAATGATGGGTATGTCATATTATGCATTTGTAAAAAGCCATAGAACTGTACAACACAGAGTGAGCCCTAACGTAAGGTATGGATTCTGGTTAGGAATGTTTCACTCTTGATCATCAATAGTAACAAAGGTACCATCCTCCTGCAAGATGGTAATAATAGGGGAAAATGTGTGTGGAGGGAGGGGACGTAGATGGGAACTTTATTTTTTGTGTGGTTTTTCTCTAAGCATAAGACTGCTCACAAAAAAATAAAGTCTATTAAACAAAAGAATTGGCTGAAAGCTGGAATATTGTTTAATGAATATCTATAACCATAAACTAATGGCAGTTAATCAGATGCACCTTGACTCAAGCTATATAATTATATATAAATATAAAAGGATTCTTTATCTGTTTTGGATAAAAAATTAAAGGCAAATAAGAAATAATTGCCAGCAGTTTCCCCTCCAGCTCTCAAAAAAGCCAATAGGGATTATTAGGCATATCCTCTCAAGACGCCTAAGAGAGAGCAGAGCTGGTCATGTGACCCTCTCCCCAGCAACCACTAACCATCTTCTCCCCACTCTTCTCCAGTCTCTGTGTGCTGGCTTTGTAATGTGTCCACTTGACTAGGTTGAATGAACTATTTCCTAGAATCACCTTCTGTGTCCAATTATGATGGGACGGAAGAGATTCTTGGGCAAGATTTGGAGGGGAGAAGTGAAGCAGCTGCCCTTTTGTAGATCACACAGGTTGTCACTGGCTGGCTGCTGGCTCATCATGTTTGCATAGGGCAGCAGCCAGGCCAGCAATTGTTTCACCTTCTCCTGGCTCTTCCTTCAACTTCTCCAACTCCTGGGCCATATGTGTGTTGAGCTCCAGCTTCTTCTGTGGCTGCTCCTACCAACAAGGTCAGAGGCAAGCTTGTTCCAGCTTGTCCTAGCTTCCCCCCATTTTACATCTGTCTTCCCTTCCTAACAACAGCCTGCCCTGTGCACTTCGAGTGCCAGCATCTGACACTAAGACAACAATATTAAGGATTCCTTAATGACTCCACCAATTGTATAAAATCAAATCCCTGTTTATCTACCGATTGATCTATCTATCTGATATATCTCCCCTAGTGGTTCAGCCTCTCTGATTGAACCCTGATACAAGGAGGATACCGAGACCAGGGCATGGAACCAGGGCAGGGGATGATAGGACTGAAGCACTGCAGGGGGCTGGTGGAGGTAATGATCAGGCTGAATGGAGGGAACTTATCCTTAGGTTAAGACCTTTCCAGAGAGGAAAGCAGTGTTCTCATTGGGACAGTACCTGTCAAGACTCCCTCCCTCTCACATCTGAGCTTTTATTCCTGTTGTGCCCCCCCAACTCAATTACCCTTCTTTCTTATCTTCAAAGGCTACCTCCTCCTCATCCTTTAGATCTTCCCCCCTTTATTTATTTATTTATTTAAAATTTGAATTGTAGGGAATTCCCTGGCTGTCCCGTGGTTAGGACTCCATGCTCTCACTGCCAAGGGCCTGGGTTCAATCCCTGGTTGGGGAACTGAAATCCCACAAACTGCACAGCACGGCAAGAAAAAAACAAATTGAATTATAATTAACATGCACTATTATGTTAGTTTCAGGTATACAGTATAATGATTTGATATTATTATACATTATGAAATGATCATTACAATAAGTCCAGTTACTATCTTTCACCATACAAAGTTGTTACGATATTATTGGCTAGATTCCATACGTTGTACATTACACCCCCATGACTTATTTATTTTATAGCAGGAAGTTTGTATCTCTTAATCCCTTTCACTTATTTCATCTGTTCCCCCACCAGGTCCCACTGGGGACCACCATTTTGTTCTCTGTATCTAAGAATCTGTTTTTGTTTTGTTTTGTTTGTTCATGTGGTTTGTTTGTAAAAATTCCACATAAAACTGAAATCATAGTGTTTGTTTTTCTCTGTCTGATTTATTTCACTTAGCATAATACCCTGCAGGTTAATGCATGTTGCTGCAAATGGTAGGAATTCATTTTTTTAAAAAATTTATTTTTGGCTGTGTTGGGTCTTCGTTGCTACGCATGGGCTATCTCTAGTTGCGGTGAGCAGGGGCTACTCTTTGTTGCGGTACGCGTGCTTCTCATTGTGGTGGCTTCTCTTGTTGTGGAGCACGGGCTGTAGGAGCACAGGCTTCAATAGTTGTGGCACGCGGGCTCAGTAGTTGTGGCTCGCGGGCTCTAGAGCAGAGGCTCAGTAGTTGTGGCACGTGGGCTTTGTTGCCTTGTGACATGTGGCATCTTCACAGACCAGGGCTTGAACCAATGTCCCCTGCATTGACAGGTGGATTCTTAACCACTGTGCCACCAGGGGAGTCCCTGACCCACTTTTTAAATTAGGTTGTTTGCTTTTTTGATATTGAATTGTATGAGTTCTTTGTATATTTTGGATATCAACCCCGTGTTGGTTATATTGTTTTGCACATATCTTCTTTCATTCAGTAGTTTGCCTTTTTGTTTTTTTGGTGGATTCCTTTGTTGTGCAAAGCTTTTTAGTTCGATGTAGTCCCATTTGTTTATTTTTGCTTTTGTTTCCCTTGCCTCAGGAGACATCAAAAATAATATTGCTGACTGATGTCAAGAGTGTACTGTCTGTGTTTTCTTCTAGGTGTTTTACGATTTCAGGTCTTACATTTAAGTCTTTAATCCATTTTGAGTTTATTTTTATATATGGTATAAGAAAGTGGTCATTTTCATTCCTTTGCATGTAGCTGTACAATTTTTCCATCATTTATCGAAGAGACTGTGTTTTCCCCAGTGTATTTTCTTGCCTCTTTTGTTGTAGATTAATTGACCATATGAGGGTGGGTTTATTTCTGTGCTCTCTGTTTTGTTCCATTGATATGTGTCTGTTTTTCTACCAGCACCATATTGTTTTTTTGTTGTTGTTGTTGTTTTGCGGTACGCAGGCCTCTCAC